ACGGGGACTAGCAAGCATGATAACATAACGCCCGAACTGAGACAGTCACTGGTTGCCGATGGCTTAGAGAATTAATTATAAAATATTTCTTCTAACATTCAAATCACTACATGGTATGGCACCTGAATATCTTTGTGAATTGTTTGTTATCTGTTTACAATCCTGAAAGAACATTGCGCTCCTCGGGTAAATCTCCCTTTGTAACACCCCTTGTGCTGCCCCTGAACTGTAGAACAGTCTTCCAGACGATATAAGATCTTGCAATTCACAGGGTGTTTTACATCTAAGTTGAAGACATTTCTTTTTGAGCGTTATTTTATTTGATAGTTTCTGTTTTTTAATTTATTAGTTTGAATGATCGTTTTTATTATTTTAATAGTAAATATTGTAAAGCGCTGTTGAATTTCTAGAAACAGCGCTATATAAGCTTATATATTATTATTATTATTATTATTATTACTATTATTATCTTATTGACGCATTATTCGCAAAAATGCTGCAAGCCACTGCGACCCGCCTAAATCAATACGGTCGTGCTTTTTTACGTATTAGTAAGCCTAGTATAGATTAACGGACAGTGCAATATTACTAAACATTGCATAATAGAGAGAAATGTGACGTCACGTTATCATGGTAGCAAAATTCCTGGATCTCAACAATCTCTCTTGAGGGAGACGGCCATTTGCATTCCCGAACGATGGAAGAAAGGTATGAAAGAGCAATCATGTACGGGAGAATATACAAACAACTCAGCAACTATAAAATTGTATTGGTTCTTTCCCCGATTAATCGACTTCGGCTCATCAGAGAAGATTGATGCGTGCGTGCTGATTGACATGGCCGCCACATTTGCGCGACCACGGTTTGTTAAGATTCAGAAATTTTGCTTCCATGTAATGTGACGTAGTGACTTCTCTCTATTCTTTACTCAAAAAGAAGACATGAGTAAGCATGTCGCTGCGCTTGATTTTAACACCTGGTGATGCCTACCGTAAATAACTCGTACTTACATCTATTTCCGCTTTCTTTAGACCAGAAATTTCCAGGAGACGAATCAAAAACCAGCGCTGATTGTAATTATCTATCTTCACCAGACCTCCTCCGAAGTTAAAACAGCCCTTTTGAGCACCTTTCCATGTATTTTTTTTATTTTCTATGTAGCAAGATGACCCATTAAGATACCAATCGGTAGAGCAAGCCAGTGGACCTAGTTTAAAGAACAGTTAGTATTACATTAAACCAAGAAGGTTAATCTGATCATATTATGGTTGACAAATTACTCCTTAATTTTGGCTCGAAATTTCAGCAATTACTTATAATTTCACATGTGAAATTACAAAATTGCCATGACAACCTTCCGTACGTCTCAATACCGAGATGGTGGCAAAGTTTTAAAAATGTTAGAAATGAAGATGTCAGGGCACTAAAAGACGCTTTAGAAAACCTGAACACACGAAAGAGCACATCAAGAGCGATTCTATCAGGAATTTTGTCGCAAAAGTCTGAAACTCACGAACTTAAGCAGATTTTTCGATCGCTGATCATTTGATGAACATGTCAAAAACCTACGATTGTGAGAATAATTCGTCACCCATGATATTAATATGTAATCAAATGACATACTCGTGAAATTAGGGAGTAATTTGCCTTGCCTAAATTAGTACGATTTGGACAAGAAACGCGTGAAATTATTCCCTAATTTCACTGGTCATCATTTGATCACACATACCATTCTAACAAGAGGAAAGACGTGAGCAGTGAACCAATTAAAACTCGAAGTAATTTTGGCGATAACTGTAGAAAAGACGAAAGCAAAACAATTCCTCGGGGAAGAAGTCACCTAAAAAAAATTGGGGGAGCTCGTCCTACTTGATTGGGCGTTGCCCTCACGGGCAGCCCAACAATTATTAACATGACTAGGCCATAATTCACTGAGAAGCCTTTCTGAGAAGTGTGTCGCGAGAACCAAGGCTACCCTTGAATTTTAATTACTAATGATCAAATCAAAAAGAAAAATAAGTACCTTATTAGTATTTAATTTCGTGGGTCTTTATTTTCAAGTTTTTCGCGATTTAAAAAATATCTCAAGATTTAAGACCATTTCTAGAAATACTGGCTGGTAGTAATGGACCGCTCCTAATAACTGGAGAGGAGGTTAAGATTTAATTTGTGGATTGATACCACTTGGTAGCCGGCTCTTATCTAAAATATGAACATATTAGATGTTGCCATAAGAGCTGTTTTGGTGCCTTTTAGAAGCCAGTCGAGATGTCTCGCCAAAAATTATAAGATGTATTTGTTACTCAACTGTTTTTTCCGTAGTTTTGCATTAAAAGTTTAATCTTTATTTGGCAAAACTGCTCAAAACGGCCGGCACCAATTATATTTAAAAGCG